CAACTATTTCATGCAATTTATTTTATCATCCACCCATGAGACTGCTGTTTGTGTCCAGAAGTAAACGTTCGTAAGTAGCAGTTACGTAACATACTCGACTAACAACCTTTTCCTAACAAAGCAGTTTTGTTGCCTTAATCTAATCAAACTTTTACCAAGCACTTGTTGAAACATGACACTGCCATAGTGGACCAATGTGTGCTTGATGCAGAGTAATTGCATATGAACATAACCCTAACCCTTTCTCTGCATTCACACTCAGATCAGTGTACCATTCCGAGCAGTGAACTCCAAACATGTTATGATCTGATATGTATAGAGGCCATCTACCTGCTCCAAATGAGTTCCATTACCATGATACGCCTCTAACTGTCCTTTCTATACTTTCAGGTTGTGTGTTTGACTCTTCCCTGGCATGAGAATAGACTGGAAACAAGGCAGGGAGGCCCGCGGAGAAGCAGCAGGTAGCATGCAACAGATCCTGCACCAGCAAACACAGCTCTGATCATTCTGCCCTCTTCTTTTCCTTTGTTCCTCATACATAAAGTGCTGTGTCCTTACATCCCTACGGGGGGGCTTTTTGCACCCCCATCCTCTATGCATTTTCTCTCAGGTCAAAAGGGCATGGACCTTGGGTTTTCCCCCCACTGTTAAAAAAAGCCTAAAGGAAAGAAGCTATTCACACAGCAACCTTTCTCAGCTCGCCTCTGTACGACGTCTAGATCCTGAATTAAGATTTACCAAAACACATGTGTCACACTCTTAGGTCTTAGGTAAAGTTGAGAAGGTAAGATGATTTTTGAAAAGCGGCGGGTGTAAAATCAAAGGGACAGTCTTGATCTGTTTCTGATTGTCACTTAATCCTCTGAGTTTCTCTTGTCTTGCAAAGCATCCTCCTATTGTTCTCCTCAGTGCTCTGCTCCTTGATGCCTGATGGGCAGAGGGTGGAAAGTTGCTTTAAAGTCCATTCTATTTTTACTGCGCCCAAAGGGGAGAAAAACAAAAACAAGCCATAAAACCTTTATAGCCTCCAATTAGCACATCAGAAATCACATTAAGTGCAGGAACACCAGGGCGACACAAGAAGGAGCAGGGCTGGATGGCATCAGAGGGACAATAACAGCAGACAACTAGAGTCAACTCACAAGATCTCTTCATCAGCGCTAACTGACCTGAAATAGAGAACCAACACTGACTGTAAAAGAAGCCTCAATTACATGGGAAAATCACATTAACTGCCCGCTTGCTGTTTTTATTATTTGAAGTCAAAGTACTATTTTTGGAGAATTTGTCCTTTAAACACAACATTAAACATTATCAGCTCCATAAAAGGCCAAAACCAACAATGTTAGACATACTAATGACATCTTATAAAGATACAATTTACTATCACAAATGTGTAAATTTAGTTTAAAAAGACACTGTCAGAACTAAATTCTAAAATGATATGTGAAATCATGTGAATCACCCAATTCAGTAAGCACCATGTGCATTTCTTAAAACTATAGAACAACCCCCAGTTGCAAAAACTCCCAAACTGCCAGAAAAAAACATAACTCACTCCTCAATGGTAGCTACAGTCTCTCAATACTTTCTGACATCCGTATTATGTCTGCACTCAGCCCATAGCCCATTATACCGTAAATGGAAATCTTTAAATTAGCTCACAAATATATTGTTTCATTAAAAAAGTTAAAAAAACAGATGGAAACAGCAAATGAGAAAACTTGTTGGAAACCATTTTCAGCTGCACATTAGGGTTACAGTTAGGCTAAATACCTGCAAGAGCACTACTCACTAAACATAGATTATCTGTTTTAATCAATGCAAATTAAGATAAAGTGATAAGATAAACAAAGTGCACAAACTTTCTTGAAAGAACCCCAGGCAGCAGTGCCCCTGCCTCAGAGAGAGGTCATAGGAAAGTCAGAGCTTTGATATGAAAGAAGACGCAGGAGGCCTGCGGGTGCTCTTACCGAGTTCACTGGTGTTGTCTCCACTCTGGGAGACGTGTCCCCCGCTGGACGGTCCCGGGGTGCCCACAGAGGGCGTGGAGTGGGCGTCATCCATGTCTCTCCAGGATGCCGGGTTCTGAGAGGTCAGGGAAAGGTCCGCACACCAGGGGACAGGACATAGGGAAATGGAGAGGAAGAAGAGAGGAGAGGGGAGAAAAAATAGATGAGGAAGGTCCAGTAGGTCCAGTATGAGGTCCATTATGCAAGACACAAAGCAGTTGCGTTAACATAGGAAGGCAAAAATGTTAGACATTACCATTCTGTCTAAGAGGAAGGTTTAAATATAGTCGCAGAAAAAGTTTAGAGGATAGGTGAGTAACCCTTCAGCATGTGGACCCTCCTGTGTCCTGGCTGTTTATGTGACCAGTGCTGGGGAGAGACCCTGTATTTATGGGGCTGACTGGCCAGGCCACTCAGACAGCCGTAAGCCCAAAGCAAACAGCAGATCTCCCTCTTCAGACTCTCTGCGTCAGCTGTTTGCCGGATGGTGATCAGATGAAGAGCTCGGCAGATGACAACAAGAAGCGTGGGACAATGGCGCAGTGTGAATGAGGCCTCTCAATGATGGCCCTTCTTTTCTTATCCAGCCACACAATAATTACAACTCCTCAGTGCGCACAGCTACTTAAAGAGGCGCCATGTGTTTCCACGTTTATCAAGCTAATGAAGGTCTTATTTCCTAACGCCCCATCTGTTAAAACCCAATTAACAGAAGCGGAGGACAGTCCTTCTACCAAACACGAACACTTGTGTTTGCCTTATACAGTAGCTCGTTGCCTCACACTGATATCCAGGTGACTCACTGTATAGTTTCCTACATGAAGTGACCGGCAGCAGCAAACAGAAGGTAAAGACAGCTATCAAAATGTACACAAGCTTTATGTTTCTCTCCAATATTTTGCAAAGAGGGATGTGTGTTCAGCACAACCAGGTCACACTGGGCATTATAACACCAGTATAATTCTACCACTTGTGCTCCAGTAACAAAGAAGCCGATTTCTTACAGACTCATGGGACACTGCAAGGCTTGAGTTAAGGTATAGATCAAAGAAGCAGCGAGTGAAGGCTGAGTTTCCAGGAGATGCTGATACTGATCCAGAGGTTTTTTCCAGAGAAACTAGAGCGGCCCAGTTTAAGGAGAATTCTACATCGCTCTGTAGAAGTTGCATACTTGACCAGG